AACGCTGTGGGAAGATCAGGCATTGACAAATGTTGATTTAAAAAAAAAAACACACCCAAAACCAAGCAAAATCCCACAAAACCCCACCTAAACCAATGCTTCAATCTGGTACCTGTTCTATGAGAGAGAAAAAGTTGAGTTCAAGTTGCCAGAAGGAACAAAAATAGATTCTGACTTGAGCTTACAGTCAAAGAGGTGAAATTCTGTCCATCGGAAGCACTGATGAGCGTCATCCTGTGCCGCCCGTGCCTGGGGACTCGGCCGCATCTCTCCGTTGCACGGTCTCCCTCTCCTTGGGCAGGTGATCATGTTAACGTGGGGAGATCTTCAGCGGAGGAAGGGAGAAGATCTGGGCCTGATTCTGATCCCGGTCTTGCTGCTTTGTTGTTTTTTGTTGATCAAGTCCAGTCAGCCTCAACGAGTGGTCATACAGCTGCGATGAAAGAGGACGTGCAGGTGGTGGTGGGTGGCCGAGGAACGAGGCTTCTGAGGAAGGAGCTCTCTTGATGAAGAAGTGTTTTGAGTGAAGAAAGAGACTAGAGATTTTTTTTTTTCTCCCAAAACTGCTTTTTTGGAGGAGTTTTTAATACCTACCAGCACTTCAAAGACAAGAGCAGTAGCTGGTTGCTGGACCACGTGGTCATCACTCGGGATATCTGTGTTTCTCTTCCAACTCCAACGCAGAGTTGCTGTTGTCTGAACTGGGGCGAGTCCTCTCCTCTCTGTGTCTCCACTCACCCATCTGGAGATAATAACACTTACCTGCTTTGGCAGAGCAGTTTTGGGCGATGCGAAGGGTGCTGCAGAGGTGCAGAGCACCGCTCCACCTTCTAAAGAAGGGCTTTGGGGAAGGAAATGGGGATATATCACATTTTAACCTTGCCGAAACACATCGGACTTGGCTTTTGGAGCAGAAAAGTGAAAATACGATAGCCTAAATAAATAGTATTTGTCCTCTTAAGCAGGGTGAGGGCAGCAGGTGAGGTTGGGGGGTGGTTTTTTGTTGTTGCTATTTTTTATTCACGGCTCCTTGAGCTGATTCTGGGAATTGTACTGACTGTGGTTATGTTTCTGGAAATGTGCAGGTTGGCCAGATGCAGTGGGGCATGGAGTGAACAGAAAGAGGTTAAATTGATGGATGACCAACAAGAGCAGGATTGTGCCTCAGAAGACCAAGAAACTATCCTGATTAATGGGGTGAAAGAAAATGGTAAGGAACTTAATTACAGTACATGAGGGAGCAGCGACAACTTGCAAGCCAACTTATTTTCCTAATTCCTTTCGTGTATTTAATTTTAGTGGCCTGCAGGTATCTCAGCAATGTGGAGCAATAGGGCAAATGTCTATTTTCTGCACAGATGTCACTCCAGCTATGAATCTACACCTCTTTAAGTCATACAAGTACTGCTTTTTGCCCAGGCATATGCATGACTGGAAATGTTTATGTGCATGTGCAGTTTGAATTATGGATTTTAGTTTGGTTTCTTAGGGGAAAGAAACCATACAGGACTATGTAGCCCCTCTGTCTGCTGGGACTCCTTCCTTCTCTTCACAATTACTTATGAACTTAGAGCCAATCTCAGCAGAATTTGACTGAAGGATACTTAGTCCCTATAAACTTCGGGGAAAATTTAGTGGTTGAGTAGAAGAGACAGACCCAGATTAGCACCCGTGGAAAGGCAAGGTTGGACTTGTGAACTCGTTATTGCCCTTTCTGCGTGGTGCCTTAGCCAGCCCGTGGGATCCCCTGGCCCG